ACCTCTGCTAGGTCCCACACCGACAACATACCCCCAAAAGCCCCCACATAAGGTTTAAAAGAGTAACCAAACGCGTCATTTCCCCACAAGAACCGACAAAAAAACACATCCACCACCTCCAATTTAGTTTCATGTATACATACAATCCACGACCTATGCTCCGAGACCACCTTCCTCACCTTCATACGTTTCTCCCACTCACCCAACCCCCGCACATTAAAAGACATAATCTTCATTACAAGACCCACCCCCTCGAACCCCCATTCCCCTTCAATACCATCGCCTCCTACTCTCCATCCCTCTCAACTCTCTGACCCAACACCTTCTCCACCTTCTGACCCTGACCTCCATATTGCGATAATGCACCTAACATATTTGAACAATAACCCATAAATTTTACTGCAATCGCCTTCCCCATTTCCTCCACATCTTCCTCCACCACTTTATTCCCTCCATGAAGAGACATCAAGTGCTTCCGCTCCTTATTATTCACCGATGATATGGATTCGGCCCCCAGAGATACCCCTGCCTCAACATCTCTGACTTACCCTTCGAGATTTTATACCCTCTCCTCTTCTTTGAACATTTTAACGCCTTCAACAATTCTTTCCTATCCATCTGCGACATATTAGCCACCTTTTTCAAATCTAACAAAGAAGCAATATTTTTACGTCTGTTGTATCCAAAAAATTTCCCTCCCATTTTTCAATATAAATTGATTCAAGATACATCTTTATGCTCCTAAGGGTCTCAAACACTCAAGACTATTCAAGAATTGATCAGATGAACCCTTCTCCTAAGCAGTAGCCTACAATTAGGGTTTTGGTTTTCTCAAAGAAAATTGAGCTTCTAATGCCTCAAGTGAATTTCAAGGTTCCCCATATGCTTCAAATCATCCTCATGTCAAGTTTCAAGCCTTGCATCACAAGTTTGCTCAGTCAATTGCTCAGATGATTGAAAATCAATTGTATTAGATAAAAAGTCAATTATGGTCAACATACAGTCAAAACTCAATATTTTTGGTCAACATCAAGATTTTGAGGTCACATTTATCATTTGATCAATGGTTAATCATGATTCATCAAGAAAACTCAAGATTCATCAAAAGTAAAAAATTACTAATTAAGGTTTTCTTAAGGAGAAGTTAGCTAAACATTTACCAAGCATAACTTTCACATGCTTCATCATAAATTTCTCAACCAAAGCCCATTTTTAAGGAAATTCAATTCTTTACAACTTTGTCTCTCTAAGATCAAGGCAAAAAATGCTTCATTTGAAAGGTATGAATCAAAACATTATAGGTCATTTTAAAATTCAACAAAAAGACGTTTTTTGTCAAGGAAATTTACATCAAGTTAAATATTGAAAATGAAAAAATGACCAACATGAAAGTTGTAGGGGACATCTTGAGATTTCCAAAAAGTCCAAGATCTCCTTCATATGACAAAAAATGTGAGAGTTATGGTTGACACAAGTTGGACAATTTTTTAAAAATGCATGAAACCTCAATTGAGCAATTTTGAATTTTTGGACTAATGGGCCTAATTTTTTAGAATCAAACAGCTTTATGACATGATAGAAGACCTCTAAGTCCATTGGTACATGGTCATATTTTTTATCCTATTTATTTAAATTTTTATTTAATTTTTGCAAAAGAATTAAATTAAAAATAACAAATAGTTGGATTAATGCTGGCCTATGATCATTTGGACATCTTCTAGAAGGCCCAAGACCTCATTAAAGCTTGCCAAAACTGTGAGAGACATATTTGAGACAAGGATCTTCAAAAATGGAAAGTTAGAAGACATGTTTCATTGATTTTTGGTAACACCATGATCATTTGATTCTTTCCTTTTTTGTGACTTAAATCTCCTCCTCTATAAATACTCAAGCCCTCACACTATAAAAAAACAAAAAATTTGCCTCAAGAAAAGTCTCAAAAATCACAAATTTTCAAAGAAAGTGCACAATTGAATCTCAAGTTCCAGTTTGATTCAGTCCAAACCACCACCTCAAATCACTTCCAGAACATCTCCAAGGTAAGAATAGGTAACTTTCCATGCCTATTTGTACCTAAAAATTGCATACATGCCATATCTGGTTTGCATTATTTTTTATTATTCGTATTACAAATTATACGCATTATTAATTGATTCTAACAATTCAGATCACTTAGTATGATTGTTTAGTACAGATTTGAAGCCTTACATGCAAGTTTTAACATGAAGAATACGAGATGTCATTGTTAGGGCATAAAATTCTATTTGTTTCACGGTACAATGGTAGTGTTCTTGCTTGGTAAAGAAGAGGGCGTGGGTTCGAGCATGGGCGCTTGTAACCATCTTTTATCTGTTTTCTAATCTTTTCTACTTTCCATTATTTTTAGTTATTTTCTTTAATTTTCTACTAATCGTTTTAATACATAAAAAAGGTTTAGTTTTTTTTATCAATTAATTTAATTAATTTAGAATTAATTTTTTGCAATTAAATTAATTATTTTATAATTAAAATTAGACATTAGGTTTTTTTTAATTATTAACATATAAAATCCAACCAAAAATACAAAAATTAACTTATAATACTTAGACATTTAGGTTTGTAAAAAATAATTTCTGAACACTTATTTTCTATTTTGTTTATTATTTCTTTCATTTTATTATTTAGATGATTGTATAGGTTCAGCGTCGAATTTATAATAGTTAGATTTTAATTTTCGCAAGGTTTTAATTATTATGTAACTCTCCTGAGGCCATGTAATAGTGTTACGTTTTATCTTTCGCACTTTACTTTTCCGTACTTATACTTTATGCCTTGTATATATATATAACTGTGTAGTAATAGGCTTGTATGACAAGATAAAATTAATTGGTAGATAACCTTAAGCAATTGCAAGATAACATAATTGTAATTGAATCAATTTGCACACATACACCTCTAGGGTAATTCCCTCAGTTGCCTTCGGAAAACATTGATCATGTCCCTCGAAAATAGGGATACTTTAGCAAAAGACCCTCAAGTAAAGATCATAGTCCCTTGATGACCCTTCGATGTTGCCTACGAAAAATGATCTAGTCCCTCCGATACGAAATTTCTAAAATATCTCTACGTGTTGCCTTCAATGACCATTCGACGACCTTTCGCTTGTCCCTTCATATCCAATAGATAGGGTTACCTACCAACTAATGATACAGATAGCACTATCTTTAAAAGAGAAGAAAAAGAATAAGAACGACCTTGAGTGGGTAAGAACTTTTAATCGCTTGCTCACAACTCTTTTCTAAAAAGTAAACATTTTACACATCACCTTTTCAAAAACAAATATTTTCAAACACTTTGTACGCGTTCTTAAGGACTAATACAAGAACCATTACAAAGTTAGCTGTACTTTGGCTTTTCAAAAATATTTTCAAATCACACACAAAGAAAATTTTCAAAGTGAGCTAGAAATTAAGACCCCGTAGATAATACGGATGAAAAGGGTGCTAACACCTTTCCTTTTCATAATTTACCCCCCGAACTCAAAATGTATCAAAGGTTTTTCCTGTTCTTTTTACCCTTTCCTTGTTGGATAAAAGAAAAGTTGGTGACGACTCTTACTAACCGCAACATTTGCGATAAAACACTAAAAAAATTTAGTTCTCCCACCGTATTACAACGTCTTCTCCCTTTTCCAACCTTCTTCTTCTCCATCAACAAATTAGCTTCCTTTTCTACTCCCACCCCATTCTCAACATGAACCTCGTAAGTCTTTGCTTCCCCCATCAACATCGTTACCCCCACCCTTGACCTCAACTTTCACATCTTTCCCTAACACGTCATCTATCACCCAATCATCGTGTAACTTAGATACCAATTATTCAACATCCAGAGAGTAATATTCCTCCATATAAAAATCATTATGCTCTGAACGCTCATCCTCCTCATACTCTACAAGACAAGCATCATCCGCCAACCCAAACTCCATATCCTCAACCATACAATTAGTATATTTAATACCATTAATCCACACATCTTCAACACAATCAATTACTGACAGAATAATAGTAGAGACCATGATACGCACGTAATTCAACCTTATTTTCTCAGTCGTACAATCATCCACCTTAAGAATATGACCATGATCTGATACCAAACATGAAAGGAAAGATAGATTACATGCATGCAACGGTACCCTAAGACATCTCACCCACGCCCATCTCTCATACACAATTTTACTCTCATTTGACCAAGCACGACAATCATAGATAAATTCTGAGAAGAAACCTACCGTCTCTGAAAATACCGCCTCTGAAACATTTCGAACAAAATGATAAAGAAATAATGTATCCCCCCTAATAGAACTACTCTCGGATCTACAATGCATGCATCAGAAATAATCTGTTGTAACACCAGGACAGACACTCCATTACGAATTCTTCCCACAACCCCACCTGATGCCCAATCCAAATCTTTAGGACTAGACGAGTACTCCTTCTTCACCACTACCTGTTTGCTTTTTTTAACTGCTTACACCTAATCCTGACAAAATTTTACCCCCATAACCTCCGCAAAAGTCACTGTCTTCTTATCAAAACCCTTCGAAAGTACCTCTCCCACACGCTCACCCTTCACTTCCCTCTCTCCCAACACCTCCTTCTTAATCACCTTCACATTTCGCCCCTCAACTTCCTCCCTCACCACTTTCCCCGACTCGGCTAAACTTTTTCCTTCCACTTTGACATATTTTTTTCACCTTGCATGTGAAAGCAAACATTTATGCTTATTTTAATATATGGGATACGGTGTTGCATACTAGGTGTTGATTTTTGATGTCTATATAACATGACTCTGATTTATATGTATTTGTATCTAATATATTTAATTTTTTTTACAGTCAAGAATGATTATAATTTTTAAGTAGAATCAGTGGCGGAGCCAGCGTCCGGCCAGGTAGGGCAGCTGCCCAGGCTCCGCCCGACCATGCTTCACCATCTCGGATCCGAACTGTTCATAAAAGATCCATGAGTGACCAATCCATAACAAGTTTAACAAGTTTCAACCATGATTCTCTTTCACCAGATTCTGTTCTCGTTCCTTTGAAGCTTCAAACAATTTTCTCAGGAAAAGAAGTAACAGATTCAGAAGACAAAAACCTAGTACCAACAGAAACTCAAACACAAATGTTGTTGTTGCCGAAAAATAACAACATGAACAAGGTTGTTAAGAAGAAAAGGGAAAGTAAGAGTTTATCAGACCTTGAATTTGAGGAGTTAAAAGGGTTCATGGATCTGGGTTTTGTTTTCTCAGAAGAAGATAAAGATTCAAACTTGGTTTCAATTATTCCTGGGTTACAAAGATTTGGGAAGAAAGATGAAGAACAAGAAGAAGATGTTTGTGATGAGTCTATGATTCAAAGACCTTATCTTTCTGAAGCTTGGGAGGTTCATGAGAGGAAAAAAGAGAAGCCTTTGATGAAATGGAAAGTTCCTGCTATGAAGAATGAAATTGATATGAAAAATAGTCTCAGATTGTGGGCACACAATGTTGCTTCTACTGTTAGATGTTAGATTAGAATTGAGGTGATGTGTTCATAGTTTATACATTTTTTTTCTTAAATATTCTTTTTGCTAAATGATATCTTTGGAATTGTTTGGTTTATAGTTTTTTAGGTTAATGCAACATTTTTCTCGGCTTTTATAGGTTTGTTCATTTTGTGAGCACACCTGAAATACTGTAACATTTATATATTATAGAATCCGGAATTTAAACATGTATATATTATAAAATCCGAAATCTTACAAATTGAAGAGGTAATTGCAATTCAAGGAAATAATTCCTTTGGGATTAGCATTGTACTGTCTTGGTAGAAAATTATGAAGCCAATGAAAACTTGCCCAGACTTCATAATTTTCCTGACTCCGCCACTTAGTAGAGTAGAATGTGTACCTTATGAATAATCCATGGATTAATGGATTAATAAAGAGCGTGCTTCTTACAGATGTTACCACTTACCCCCAATTGAAGAAACATGATATTTCCTTATCCAAGAAGTATCGTAAAACCAGTGTGCCATCTCAAACCACTATCTACCAACATGTGAATCCACAGAAACAATTTTAATTTAATCAAATAAAAATAATAATAAAAAACTATAGATTCCCCCACCATCATATTTCAGAACTTTCCTAACAAAGAATCCACTCCATCATCCACACATCTGTCACTCTTATCCATTTTCTATTCATGAAAATGATTTTCAATAAATTAATTTAATATTGCTACCATTATGTCTAGAATGTTCTTAATAATACTCTTCTTTAATATTAACTTTTTTTCTCACTACAACATTTCATTCTCTCTTCCTATATAACCCCTTACAAGTTACAGAACTTCCTCTACAGCTTTCTTCTGTTAAGGTAAATCGCTCTTTTTTTTTTCTTCAACTGCTTTAACTACTTTCCAAATTTGTTGTTCAGAAAATATTTCTCATGCTTCATTTTTTTTCCTCACCTTCTTTGACTTATCATTATTTTTATTAAATCAAATCCTTTGCATTATATATATATATATATATATATATATATATATATATATATATATATATATATATATATATATATATATATATATATATATATATATATATATTATTATATATTATTAATTTAAATAATTTATGATTACTCGTGTGAAAGCATTCAAATATTCATGGAATTATTCAAGTGAATAAAGGAGGAGAGGTATGTTCTTAATATTGTTATTATGTTATAATTTGAAATTTATTGATATAGTTATGATAGTTTTCTTGAATGTGAAGACGATGGGTTTTATATCTCGTTTCAAACTATTACTTTATAAATAAAAATATTTATCTTTTTGACGATTGGTTTTATATTTTGCTTGAAACTATTTTTTTTTAGAGGCTTGTTTGAAACTATTAATTTATAAATAAAGATATTTATTTTTTGACTATTGGTTGAACATCTCGTTTGAAACTATTAATTTATAAATAGATATTTATCTTTTTATAATAATTTATTTATATGATTAATAATATTGTGAGTGTAAATTCTTGTTAGTTTTTGGTAGATGCCATCTACATGTAAAGTAAAAACATACAATTATAACTGTATGAATTTATATTTTTAAAATATTAATTGTGAATGTCTTGTTTATGAAAATGAAATGTTACTAGCAATTGATATTGTTGTTAAAAACTTAAGTTAAATATGATTTATGTGAATTGGATAATTTTTTCTCTTAAAAGTTACGACTCTTGATTAAATTTAAAATATTAACATTATTCTTAGATTGAAGGTGACGAAACATAACTTTTTTTTTTAATAATTCAATATCATAAAAGTGAAGACAAAGTATGAAAAATGAGTATATTCACAATTTTGTAGGTTCTATCTTAATTAAACTTGTTATTAGAAATATTTTATAATTTTCTATATGTTATTTAAATTTTAAAATTGTATAAATTTATCATATAATTTCTTTAAGTTAAAATATTATAAAAAACTTCTATTAAAAATTAGTATTTCATTAAAATTTTAGTAAATAAAATATAGTTGGTATTATATGTCAATATTTATGATTTTTTTCTAAAGGTTAATGTTTAATATTTTAAAAAGAGTGAATATTTATTTTGGTTTCTCATAAAAACGACAGAATTTAGATTAATCTTTAAAAAAACATATTTAGTTTTTTATAAAATTAAATTGAATCATGTTAATCCTGAATATTGAACTGTTTTTGAAATTTATGACACACTATTAATTTATCTATGCATTATTATAAATAAATGATTTTATCTCGATTGAAAAATAAGTCATACTTTAGATTTGTTACCTGAGAGATAAAGAACAGTATCGTAGAAAATACATGACTTTTCTCTTCAGTTTACATGACAATTGGAAAATACATCACTTTTCTCTTCAATTTACATGACAATTGAGGAGAAAGTTGTACTTAAGTTTGATTTCCAGTAATTGTATTTTTGTGTTTTCAAAATCGAAAAAAATTAATCACTTTTCCTCTAAGTTGGTTTTAGTATATGAGGTAAAATATTTAGGGGTTACAATTGAGGGGAAAACATTTTTTTAAATATTACATAATTTTTATTTTGATCTTTATATATACATATGTTGTGATAGAACTTATATACATGTTTTCAACCGACAACAAACTAGCCCAAAGTATTTTAGAGAGAAAATTATATACATATAATGCTCATGTTCTTAACAAGACAACAAATCATCCAAGAACATTTTTTATATATAAAATTATATTGTTTACAACAAATCTAAAATGACAGAGACATTTACATCATACTAATATATCATACTAATATAAGTTATTAGGCAACAATCCAAGAGAAATTAAGTTAAGTAATAAATAATATAGGAAGTGAATAAATGTCATCTATATCTTTTTATGTAAATATATTGTCACAATGTGAAACACCTATAATTTAAATAAAATTTATATCAGGTTAATACCACAACAACAACATTTTAACTTTCAATCTCCATAATAAGAAGAACATACACATTTTACCATCTAACAGCAAAAACATTAATTTAACTAATATAAATAAATTACATACATATGGATAAAGTGATTATCTTAGTCTAGGAATCCCTAATGTCTCCACAGATAATTTTCAACATATGTTTCATAACATAATAATCCGAACATATTTGTTTGTTGTCTTCGCGTCTACAAATAATTTTTATATAATGGTTAATAGACACAACGCACAAGTAATACCACTTACTTTTGGAAAAATAAATATTGGCTTTTTATTTTTTAAATTACGACGCACAAGATTCTACCCCTTCGTAGCTCTCCGTGTTGAAAAAAATTATACATAAATAAAATTTATTCAAAAGTAAAGGTAACATTTTAGTATTACAGAAAAATACCATTTGCGCGTTAGTGATTTCTTTCATCTTTCAATCAAGACCACACTGTAATGAGCATAGCATAATTAAACAATTTTTCTTGAAACAAATAATTATTAGTTTTAAGCGACGACTGCATAAACATCCAAAATAATTAATTATGAATAAAAAATTAAATATTAAATAAGAAAACACAAATCATAAATATCTACAAATTTATAAACGATACCATGCCTATTAGTATACAAATCATGTCTATTAGTACCCTTCACAGTATCCCTAATACAACCCTTTGATATAAAATAATAACTGTTGTGGTTTATGTTATAATCGTATCGGGAAGGAGTCTCTCATACCCACAACTTTTTATCAAATCAAACAACTACTTTCTCCATATGAGTTGGTTGGTAGGTTCTTAGGCCAAAAATCAATTTGGTAATTACCCATGCAGGATATAAATAGAAGAAGCTCACTCTGAGGATCCCTTAGTTATGGTAGAAGGTGCATTAAATCAATAGCCTTGGAAAATCTCTTCTTGGACAACTCCTTAATGAAACCGTCATCTCAACTAACAGCCCCTCCAAGAAACTTCACCCCTAACAACGGCCTCCCTATTTCTGACGGAAACAAATCCTCACGAAGTTTACTACCATCACAAGAAGGCCAAAAGATCTCAGTCTTACGAATATTTAATTCAAGACCTAATCCTGGACCTGTCTCCCGAATGATATAAAAGGCTTTAGCCACCTCCTATGAATCCCCTATAATAGTCCCATCATCAAGATACCGGGCATGAAGAAGAAGATTACAATCGTCCCTAACCTGATGAATGAGTGGGTGTAACACAAGAGCAAAAAGGAGTGGCCCTAACGAGTCACCTTATTGCACTCTAGTGGCTGGCATAATATGTCCATCCCCAAGGTACAACCTTGCTGCTTGGCCTTAAAGAAACTCAACCCACAAAGAAATAGATGGTCATCTCACCCTCACCTCACGCAATAAGGCTGATTGATCTACCATGTTGAAAGCATTCGAGAAATCTACAATCAGCATAGCCATGGAACCATCTTCGTGTCGTTGCTTAACACCCTATTGGCACTATGCAAAATGGCCTCAACACCACCGATACCCCAACCCAAACTGAAAGTCATTGAGGTATCGTGCCATATCTTTATCGACCACTTTCGTAGCAACTTTGGATACCAACCGTCTCCAAATAAAACCCACAGCAATTGATCGTATCCCACCACCAGGCTTTAATAACAGTGTCAATGGTGCAAAGGCAACAAACTCCGTCAAACGCATGGGACATCTTCCTCCTAGCCATAAGTTAATAACTAGAGTGATTGTGTATAAGAGATCTTTCGCCACAGTAGAACCTTCTCCACACAGTTCATCTAAAATATGTTAAGCACGCAAACCATCTCTACCACATGACGTCCCCTTGGGAAAAGATTTAATACACTTGAAGATAGTATCTATATCAGTCACTAGGGGATACTTTGAGAATAAGGTGGTAGACATGGAGGGAGGTGGTTTGTACGGGTGCTTAGCCTCCAAAGCCTTCATTGTATGTTCATTATAGGGGGCCACACTGGATGACTCTAACACTTTTACAGCTGTTGTGAAATGGCCATCTACAACCTTGCGGAGGCATT